TTTTATCTTGCTTTTGAATCACAAACATGTACAGATTATATAACAGAAAAATTTTGGCGGACACTTTCTGTGGGTGCTATACCAATTGTCAGCGGACCAAAACGAGAAAATTTTGCACGTATTGCTCCACCTCAATCATTTATTCATGTTGATGATTATACATCAGATAAAAATTTAGCTGATGCATTAAATTTAATAGGGAAAAATCGAACGCTATATGGAAAATATCATGCATGGAGACGATATTATGATGTTTATTATGAAGCAAAAGATGTTGATCCATATAGATTTTGTGAATTATGTTATCGATTAAATACGAATAAACAACGTATTTGGTATGAAAATATTAATGAATGGTTTTTGGAGAAATGTTAAAAACCTCAATATAATTTTTTTGTTTATGTCAGATAGAAATTTCCGTTATGTATTAGCTTATTTTTTTTTAGTAATAAAAATTATTGTTAACATTTTGTGGTCAGCTATAAATAGTGTAGTGATGAATGTATCATGGAAGATTGTCACAATGGAATCACATGAGAACTGTTGTCTATTTTTAGATAGACAAAAAAAATGCAAATATTTTATGACTCTTTTTTTATACAAATTAGACAATAAATCTTTTTATTTAGAATGTATAATAGAAGAAATATGAGATTTGGTATTACTTGCAAATATACTCTTTAATGAGATGGTAATCGATAGTTGCTCATGTCATATTGGCAAAAAAAGACAATCTTCAACTGATTAGTTAATCTTTTGTTAGATAACATTATTACTTCTTATTATTGTAAAAGATGACAAATCATTGAATTATATTCGATATATAATATTATTTATCGTTTATTTTTTTATGATGAAAAATACTATTTTGAATGTTATTCTTATACGCAAGGGGACGTCGTTATTCATTATCGAGAAATAAAAATAGATCTTGAAGTTTGCTTTTGTTGTTCCCTTTGCTCATTAACATATACCATTCTCAGCAGACTGCTTTGTTATCAAAATTTCTGTAGTTTTTTCGCGATTTTAATTTAGTAGTATAATATTTTGTGATTCTATTAATAATGCATTTATTCGACAAAAAACTCAATTAGAAAAACAATGATTTAGACGAAAGAAATTTATTCATATTTATTTTAATAAATACAAGCATATTAAAGATATATGTTGAAATAATTCTCATAAACAATACGTTTACAAGGTCTGAAATTTTATACACGACCTAGTCTAATTGTGATCTTGATGTAGTCTAAGTTCCAGATCGAAATTCGAACAAAATGGTTTTCTGAAAGGCTCGAGTTCCATGAAGAAAACTTCTTGCTCACTCGATAACTCTGGAATAAAAGCATGAGGAAACGAATCCTTTTCAGGTTTTTCATATCTTATCGATGTCTACCTATCGCCAAACGGTGAAGTCTAAACGGTTTGGACGCCTGAGCATATTCCCTCTTTAACTTCATCTTTTAAAGATTATTCATCGTAAAATAATTGAATAATAAGATGTAATGGTTTGTAATATCAGTTTATTTTAAATCTTTTCCTATGAATTGTACTGAAGTTGATCTCTGTTATATGTTTGTGAGACAAATAATAAAGTATCAATATGCAAATTTAGGTAAGCAGTAAAAAACGATTTTATTTTTATTATCCGTTTAATCATGATTTTACTTTTTCGAAAAAGATTCTCATTAAAATTGATCGATCTTGATTACCAGCTACATTACTAAACACTTAAAAGTTAACATAAAATGTTGAAACATCTTTAAATTGACGATATGTTCACTGAACTTTGGACTGTACAAAAGTAAAACTAACGTCGAAAGGTTAACTTATAACATCAAGCTCAAATCACTATCTAAGTATTTTCTAACTTTGTGCACTTCAATTTTAGTCCTGGTGATTTAAAATAATTTGGAATGAGATATTCACCAATTATAATTTCAAGATATTCCCACCGTCAAAAATTATATAGACAAAAGAATATTTTTGTACAACTTCTTATATAATAAGCTATCAGTGTAAGCATTCATATATTGTACATATTTCTGTTGATAATAGTTGGAATGTCCTGTTATTTATTAGCAACTGCCGGTTTACGTATTCTACTAACATGAACCATTCAATCACATTCGACACAAAAATCTTCGACATTGTCATTCAAATTCGACATATACAAACCTTCTGTTTCTCTCTTACTATGATAAATGGTACAAAACTCTTTGATTTCGAAGACAAAAATAAATCTGATCCTTCACTATGGGCATACATTTCCAAAGTTCATCCAAACTGCTCTTTCAAAGACCTCTACTGACAATCATCATCAAAAACAATCTGTTTCCTTTAATAAATCCTTTTATTTTAAGATAAAACATAATATTTCTCAGAATCTGTGGAATTATCGGGCAAACCTAACGATAAACCCCTATTTCAAGCTGTTCGACGAAGGTGCTCTCGCCACATAAGCCCAACTGGATTGTCGTCGAGGTTGACTGAAGTGAGTGTCTGTATGAAATAAAGAAGATGAATATGATCGAGATGATGTGAGATCAGTTTGTCTCTCACTGTGTTATTTTGTAATGCTTCACCAAGATCTTTCGCACCTTGCTCTCCGATTTCATTATATGCGAGGTCGAGTTGTGTGAGTGCCTGTATGAAATAAGAAAGATGAATATAACTGAGATGAAATGAGATCAGTTTTTCTCTCACTGTATTATTTTTCAATACTTCACCAAGATCCTTTGCACCTTGATCTCCTATTTGATTTTTGTCGAGGTTGAGTGTAGTGAGTGTCTGTATGAAACAAGAAAGATGAATATGACTGAGACGAATAAAGTTCAGTTTTTCTCTTACTGTGTTATCTTGTAATGCTTCACCAAGATCCTTTGCACCTTGATCTCCTATTTGATTGCTGGAAAGGTCGAATTGTGTGAGTGTCTGTATGAAATGAGAAAGATAAATATGATTGAGATGAAGTGAGATTAGTTTTTCTCTCACTGTATTATTTTGTAATGCTTCACCAAGATTCTTTGCACCTTGAGCTTCTATTTGATTGCTAGAGAGGTTGAGTGAAGTGAGTGTCTGTATGAAATAAGGAAGATGAATACGACTAAGACGAAGAGAGTTCAGTTTTTCTCTTACTGTGTTATCTTGTAATGCTTCGCCAAGGTCCTTTGCACCTTGCGCACCTATTTGATTGCTGGAAAGGTCGAGTTGTGTAAGTGTCTGTATGATATAAGACGGATGAATGAGACCGAGATCAATAGACATTGGTTTGTTCCCACTTTGTTATTTTGTAATTCTTTACCAAGATACTTTGCACCTTCATCTCCTATTAGATTGTCGGAAAGGTCGAGTTCTGTGACCGTCTGAATTAAATAAAAAAGATGAATATGATCAAGATGAAGTAAGATCAGTTTTTCTCTCACTTTGTTGTTTTGTAATCCTTCGCTAAGATACTTTGCACCTTGATCTCCTATTTGATTGCAGCAGAGTCTGAGTTGTGTGAGTGTCTGTATGAAATAAGAAATATGAATATAATCGAGATAAAGAGAAATTATAATTCATCTGAAACGCATCATTTTGTTAGAATTTTCCTTCTTCTTTAAAGATTTATAAAGGATTATTATTTTTCACATATTATAGACAAAAATTCCGTACTTCGAATGACGAGAAACGAACCAAAGGATATCATAGAAAGAATCATTCAGTTGCAGGATTTTTCCACGAGCTAATTACTTTCTCTTATATTCTAGACTGCGGTTATCCATGTTAAAGCACTGGATGGATCAACATTTCTATAATATTGATGCTTCATAGAACATATTGTGAAACGAGACCAATTAATTTCTTTTAGACTCTAGCTTTTCTGTTTCAACTTTTGCAACAATAAATAAAATAGTATTGCAGTTAGCATTGTTTTTATACTATATCTCTCCTAAAAATCTCTAATAAAGAGCAAGAAACTTCTTAGCTCGTGGCTCAGGCTTAAAATACGATAATATCACAAGATCCTCTAAGTGTCGTGGATGTTTAACGAAAAAGTAATTATTTGAAGTATTTTAATAAAGAATTACAATTATGATCAATCTTATTTACAACAATATCTTTACGAACAAAATTTATCAAAGATAAAGAAATCAAATAGTTTCAAGTTTGACACAACGAATAACTAATTAATTAATCCATAAAAAATAGTATTATAAAAGTTTTATCGATTTTTCACTGCAATTAAAATATATTTTTATCAAATCTGAAACTATTTTGCTTTTGTTTTCTATGAAAAAAAAAGATATATATTTCATTGACTGATCAAAGAACACTTATTTTTGCTTAATTTATATCCATATATAAATATTCAAATAAATAGCATTTTGTCTTATTCTTCAAGTTTAATTATCTGTTAGAAATTTATTCAAAAGTTCATTTTTCTAACTTTTATTTTCGTTCAACTAATTCTCAATTAACAACAACTTTTTTTTATTCTTCATAAAAATGTTTTGATTTATTTGTGTCATTAAACATATTTTTACTTTTCTTGACTAAAAAGACTAATGTCGTTAGAAGACAAGACCGACTGAGAAAACTCTTATGTTCGTTTTCAATTTCCTGATTAAATTTTTGTAAATTTGAATAAAAATATCAACAGAAATTGAAATATTCTGCTTTTTTAATCAGATGAATTCATAAGATCAGCTGAAGTCGTTTCATACATTGAACAGAAGAATTATTCAAAGATCGATTATTAAGCAATTATGTTTATGACGGTCTTCATTTTAATAAATAAGTATACATCAATCGTTTTAACAAAATTAACTATGCCTTCATTCCCTGTTTTCTGTTTGATAGAATCAAACAAATACAACAAGAGTTTACCTTATTATCTTTTAGTAAATAATAAGCCACAATTTCCATATCAGCATCAGTCAAGTTCATACGGGTGTACGATAGAAATGGTTCATCTTGATCCCCCATAATCCTTCGCTCAAGTCCTATATTTCCATGTGCAGATGGTTTTGATAATAAACTTGTTTCATTTGATTCTAAACAGATACACATAAAAATCTTTGAATAAATGAACATTGTTTTACTGCACAGTTCAAACTAGACAATTTTTTACAATACTTTACAGAATCTGTTGATCATTCTTTGTAAAAGAATATCTTATTTTGAAATCTTAAATATACACATCTGAATGAATTAAAACAAAATACTGTGGTTATAAATCCTCTTCAAAGGTTTCACTATTTTATCTTCTTTAATTCAATATCAACAGTAATAATTATTGAATATAGGAACTGAAAATGCACACCTTTTTTCTATTATTTTTGTTTCTTGTTTTTGTTGACAAAAGAGAATCAGATGTTAAGATTTCGGCTGTTGAAAGTAAAAAGAAAGAGAAAGAATAGTGTTTAATTCCTACTGAATTTGTCAATATGGACAAAACAAATGAAGAATCTATTTTAAGAAGGATATCAAAGATTTTCTTTGGAGTCAACTATCTATAATTTTACAAAGTATCTGTGACCGTGTATTCAATATTTAAATATCTGAGAAAATTATAAAACTCCTCTCTAACTCTGATAGACGCTGTTCGAAGATAATAATTTAGAGAAAGAGAACTTCATTTTTGATTCTTTCAGTCAAATTCGCAATGATATTTTGATTTAATTCAACGATGAAATAATAAATGAAATTTTAGAAGAGAATAATTTTACCTTGATTGTTAATAGGACCGATGGATGATGCCATTAAATCTAAAATACATTGACAAATATAGAAATAGAATAACGATCATTTTTTTTCTCAACGTATTTATTAAAGTTGTTATTTTATTATTATTATCATGATTGTATTTATTGATGAAATATTTGATTTCGAAAATCTAGAAATAATTTTCGTTTTTTCTAAGAATGTAGATGTCAATATTGTTACACAAGTGTATATAGCAACATATGACATCGTGAAAGTATGTCTCATTACAAGTACTTTTAATGAGATTTATTCAATAATTCTATCAAAATAAACTCGTTAGATATTTTATAAAAATTCAAATTGGAATTTATTTCTGCTATAATATTCATATAAACACATAATCTAAATATCTCGATATTCATCTTTATAAAATATGTCGACTACATCCAATTTTTTTTGTTGCTTTTTGTGGCTAAATAAAATATTTTACGATATTATTTTATGACTCTATTACACTAAAGACGCTTGCAATCCACAGTTTTTGACTGATGTAATGGATGATTGTCATACTAAGAGTACGATACTAAATCTTCATATTCGAGTATTTAGTATTATAATAGCTCTCGACAAAACTGTTAATTCGAGTTTTAACATTATCCGTCGATGTAATATGTCGTAAACACCAAAAAATGGATATTTCGGCACTAACTCTTATTATTTTACTGAAACATGTCAAACTTTTTGTTCCTCTCCTCGATATTATCAATTCAGACTGATTATTCAGAAAACTTTTAACGTTTTAGCTATATTTGACTGAAATTGATTACTAGTCTAGTTTCGAGCACATATAACTATCTTTTAGAAAATCATACCATTAGTTATGGTAGATATGTTCACTTGAATAATTTTGAATTGATTCATAATCGAATACTAATATTAAATCTGTGATCAAAAATATTGGAAAAACGTGACGTCGATAGTGTTTTTTTTTTAAATAATGCTTCTCTTTTTTGCTAATTTTCTACATACCTCTTTAAACAGAAGTTATGCAAGAGTTACCAAAAAACATCATTATATGATGCTAGCGTTAGCAAGATTTACAAACGATAATCATTATTATAAACTCATGAATTAATTTTCAAAGAAAAAGGAACTATCAAAAATAAAATAAATGATATTTAGAATGCTCTATTTTATTACTAAAACCATTTAGATCAATAACTTACTAAAACCAAATTGTTGAAATAGAATGAATTGAGAAAATTGTAATAATCAGTTGTTGTGAACTTATCGCAGTATGTGTTTTTTATCGAATGATTTATTATTTAGTTGTGTAAAAGCACACAACTCTACAGTTACATTTTTTCCTACCTTTCTCTTTTTTCTTCCAAGTAAGTGAAAAATCCGAGAAAGAGGAGCGAGACAAAAAACACTTATTGTGTGGGGAAAAGTTGCAATACTTCACAAAAAAAAACAATGATAAAGCTGGAAAGAAAAACACATTCTACTGGGTAAAAGTTTATTGCGAAATACAAACTCTTAAGGTATGCAGGTGAACAATAAAAATCATACTGATATCTACAACGTAAGAATTAATCATTATCATTGATACCGAATGTTCTCCACCTGTGTAGAACATAGAGAGGATACTAACTCTCACTAAAGCCTTTAGAAATTCGAAAAATTCTTAGATAATATCGAAGATTATAGATTATTTTATTCCTGATGTATCTGCGGAATAAATAGAACAATATGTTTGAATATGAGTATCAGCTAAATGTGACACTTGTACACTTCCTCATTTACACACAAAAGTACTCACAGAAATTATTCAAGGACTAATATATAGTAAAGAGATTGCAGATGTATTTTTTTCCATAATAAACATTATTACCAATAGATATCGATTTTAAATTTATAATATCTTTTTTATCAATAAACTTCATCATTTTCATCTGACAACATTGGCAAAACTTTGAAGAAGATTTGTTCTATAGAACTAAACATCTCACATCACAAAAAAAGAGACTTTTATATTCATTAGAGTATTCATCATTTATTCTCTAATCTTTTTACTTAAAATTAGGATTAAATATTTATTTGGTGAAAAAAAAAGATTGAGCAAGAAGTGAAAATAAATTTACATGCAACACACTTATATAGTTATAGAATTAAATAAAAGAAAACATTATACGCATGGCAAGAAACATACTCAATCAGACAAGCTTGGAAAAAACAAGTTTGTAAATATTTACGTTGTAAAATTCATTTTTCTCTCAAAAAAAATTTTTAACGCGTAAAATTGTGCACTTTCTACGCATAGAAACATCGTTTTTTTAAATGCGTGTCTGACTGGGTAGCTGTAGAAAAAAACACAAATCGTAAACTAGTAAATATACATCTGACAAAATATTTATCATTAATTCATATGAACAAAAGATGTTTATATCAGATATAAGCACAACATGATAAATGAATATGAAATACATGTATTTTCTTATTTATTAGAGTTATAATTCAACTAAACCAGAATATTAAAATTTATAATTAGTATCATTTATGATACAAAGAATGTGTGAAGATAAAATAAGAATTTGATTTGATCGATCATAATATGTTCTTTGTACTTTTGTTTGCTATCAAGGATCAACAGATTAATTTGGTTTAACTATATATTATTCTCTAAAAGTGGAAAAAGAATTCGATAATTCAAACCATTGTAATGTATCATGACACTCCATAAAAAAGAAGATTAATTTTTGAGAATTTGAATATATGCATTTCTCTTTACATATATCTTCAAAACATTAACTTTATCACATTCAAATAACTTCCATTTTTATTACTATATAATCTCTAACTCAAAATTATGATATATTCTACTAAGACCTTATTAATAAAAGGATCACAGAATTAATATATTAACTCAACTTCTAGTATATCATAGAATGATGATATTCATAAGAAAATATTTTTTGAATTTCAATATTAAATCAAGAAGAACAAGTTTATGATGAAGAAGTACAGTAATACGAGTAGAAAAATGATCTAAAACATATCAAAGAAATAAATAAAGCCTTTTGAATTCTAAGTTGTGGATGTGGGTTAATAGAAGGTCAACTCTCACAGCTTCAAGGTAGATGATTTAGGTACGATTTTAAGTTTTACTTCTTCAGTTATTGATTTGATAAGAATTAAATTATCTTTCGTTCAATAAATCGAACAATATATATGTCTGTTACTTTTGATATAAGAAGAATTCTAACATAAAAAACAAAATTAAAAAAAAACTTGTAAATATTGATCGTGAAAGGCAGAAGTAGATTGTATTACATTTTTGTTCTTACAGATTTGATACTATATAGAACCGAAGAAAGACTAATATATTTCTTAAGAGATATTTAATGTTTTCATTTTCTGATAAGATTCCCGTACCCCGAAGGAAACGGGAGTGAATCAAACTCAACGGCACTGCATTATCGAGATGATTCGTGGCACAGATCCGAGTGAACTCGAGTGATCCTGACCGATGTCCATATTTCGCTTGAAAGAGCCGGATCTCAATGAGATCAGCGCCGGCTTTCAAACTGACGAAAACAGATACTACACTTTGATCTTAGCCAAAAAGCGATAACTCAATAGATGAATTCCAGTTCTTTATATTTACCGTGTTCATACACATTTCATTTTTCAACGAAACAAAATAGAATCTAGTTTGTTATGACTTACGACATTACAGTACATAGTTTATTGATGATGACTATTGTGCAAGAATAATGTAAGATTTTATATAAATCCTAGTTTACATTTATTGTAATACATTTTTTAATTCTTTTTCGTTTTAATAAGAAAAAAAGTGTTGCTCTGGCAGGCTAATGTTACCATCTTTTTTTTCAAGAATTTTTTAACTTAACATTAATATCCGATACATGCACACACAAGCACAAGGAGAAGAAGGAAATAAAGCATTCAGAACAGGAAAAAAAGAGGTACACACCGACACACATATATATGATGAATATCAATTTAGAATAAGAACAACACAAAATGTTTTATTAATTTTGTTTTTCTTGATATTTATCAATGACCATTAGCATTTGCTTATTTGGCTTCATTAAATACCTTAGCAAAAGTTTTAGCCTGTTCATTAGTTTTAAATCTTATACATAATGTTTCATGTTTAGCTTCACCATCAGCAAAATCCATTGCTGACCATAAATAAGCATTAGCTGAACCTTGATGTGATTTTAGTTCCATTTGTGATGTTATCTGATGATTTGCACATAATTTCAGTACTTGTTCACGACGCATTAATATTCGACACACTTTTGTTGTTTTATGTTGTAAGATTTTCAATTCACCAACACCTTGTTCTTTCATTTGATTTGCTGCCGTATCAAAGCGATAAAGTTTAGCACGTTCACAGAAAAGAACATTTTCATCCTCTTCACCAGTTTTAACTTCAACAGCTGATCGCTGAACAATAGGTTTGAATGATACATTTGGTTCATATTCAGAATCGTCACCACCGCCTTCACGATCATCATCAGCATTAGTTTCTATTTTTGCTGTTGGAATTGTCGATGACATCGAAGGGAAAGATCCACTACCAAAGACAGAGGATCCCTGATTATTGATACCAAATGTAAATGGACCTTAAAAAGAATATTAATGAATTTCTATTCGTTTAAATCATATATATATATATATATCTTACTGCTGTTTGATGGTTTTTCGTTTGTAGTACTAGTAGTTGTTGTTGCCATCGAAAATATTGATAATGGTTTAGTATTTGTATCAGCAGCGCCAAATTTAGGTGCATTTGAAAAAATACTTTTGGATGGTGTTGTAGTCGTTGGTGGTAGTGTATTTATTGATGTTGGCGCCGAAACTGGTGGTGCTGATGCCGACATAGAAAATTGAAATGATGAAAGAAACATACTGAATGGTGATGAAATAACTGAAATTTTCTTAATAAATTCTTGTGAATCTTGTCGAATTGAAATATTTGATGGTTTATTCAATTCTTCTGTAATTTGTGTTAATTGTAACTGAAAATGATTTAAATCAAAATCGTTAAATTCATTTTCTTCACGAATTCCTTTTAATTTCTGAGATAATTCAATAAACTTGTTTTCAATATCGTTGATCGACTTTTCTGTCAAAGTCATCAGTGTTTCTCGGCATTCTTTTGCTGTTTTTTGAATTTGATCAATTGAATCTGTTTCCCATTGATTAATTTGTTCAATAAAAGAAGAATTCAAGGGATTTTGTTTTTTTTGAATAATCGTTTGTTGAAACTGATCATGATTACTGACAATTTCTTCTAATTTGTTGCCAAGAATTTGTCGATGTTCTGTTAAATGTTGAAAACAAAAACCTTTTGAACATCCTGAACAAACATATGTTGTATTCGCTTTGTTACAAATAGAACATTGTGCTCTGGTGTTTGCCGTTGCCATTTGTTGATGAATTTCGAAAAGAAATGAATGTTTGTTATATTTTCTTATTTACCTAGACTTCGATAAGATAAAATGAGTCAAAGTCAATAAAAATATGTGAAGAAAAAAGAATGAAGTAAACCTTTTTTTAGTCGTTACAGAATTTTCATAATAAAAACAATTTGGTGTTCATTAGGATTGTATTAAAAATAAATCATAAGAATTTCGTTAAGTTTTCTCCTTTGAGATCAGAAAAGATACAAATAATCTTTTTGTTTTGGTTTAATTAAATAAAAGATTTTTTGTTATGAAATTCGATGAATGTCATTTATTTATTCAATTCTCTTTACTTTATTTTACAGTTTAATATTTTTGAAAATGATAATTAAAGTTTTTCTTGAGTTTTGTCGAAAAAAAATATTCATAAGTGCGTTTAAGTAAATAATTAATCTAAAATCAATTTGAAATCGTTTGAAAATCTTCATTCGATTTAATTATTTGTTTTTTCTCTTTTACAATTCAAGATGTATATTAATATCGTTACAAAAATATTTCAACATCTTGAGGGTGTGGGTGAATCTGGATATAGATGAAGAACACAAATCCACATCCGAGGTTTTAATGAAAAACATAGGACCTGATTAGTTTCTAAAAATGAAAAAGTAAAATTCTAACGAACCAGATGATAAACCAAGATCTTTATTACATTCTTGAAAACGTTTGGAGAATTTTTCAATTAAAATTGATAAATATTTATTACGATCTTCTGGTGCATCAAGTTTATCAAAATATTGACGTAAAGTATTTAATAAAAACTGATTTTCATATGATTGAAGTTCAATAAGACGCTCTAATATATCACGACTAGAAATACAATATGTTCACTTTTGATATAGAATTTGCAATTAAAAAATATTTTAAAGATTAGATGAGACTAAAGCAGTTGACGTTATCATTTCACGATGGAAATCTCTGTTCTTTTCTTCTGAGTACTCTAATTATAGAAGAACTCGTAGGATAATTAAAACTTTTATAAAAATATATGATAGCAAAAAACTATAATCAACATAACATGCTTATATTATTTTATGATATTTCGATAACAAGAAAGAACGATAAATGTCATTGTATTTTTAATAAAATATTGAAGACCCTATATATAAAAAAAGAAAAGAATTTTTCAGTATTTGTCCAGCATTGAATGGTAATATTCTTTCATCAAGTTGTAGATAGATTCTACGAAATGAAATACTTTCACTGTGAGCTCGATTAGATTTGCATAATCTTAAAAGATATAAAGCGAAGAGAAGTAAATCATTTTTAAATCTATTTTATTACCCAAGCCGAAGTATTTCACCATTAGGTAATTTTTGACAAACACATGCGGCAAGACATCGATCAGTAGCATTTACATTTTTGTAACTAAAATCATATATATTTATATATGAAGAATTATTTCTAGAATAAAATCTATACTTTAATTTTTAGTATGAAATGCCGGCTTAGCAACTTGTCGATCAAAGATTTAACCCATTGCTAATGATCAAAGTCATATTTTCAGAAAACAAATAAGTATTCATACTGAAGAAAAGATCTCAAATAAAATGAAATAATTATTTTACAATCTTCAATATATCAAATAATTTATATAAAAGTTATCATGAAATGAAAAAATAAATCAATGTTTCTTTTTAATATTCATTCAAAAATAATAATTATATTTCGCCAATTATTTTACTTATCTTTTTTCATAATTAAAATCTTGAGATCACAGTGCAAAAAAAAGAATGAATTCTTTATTTTTCGAAAGTATAAACTCAGGTAATTCTAATTCATATTTCATAATAATGATAAAAAATATAAAAGATGTCATTGTGACAGTTTTTCTAGTAATTAAACTCTTTGCTATGTATTTAATTAATTTTATTCTAACATAGATTTTATGATGTTTGTGATTAATGAAAATAAATATACAGATACAAACAACCATATAATCATATTACAATTTTAGTCCTTGTTTTCAGAAAAAAAATGTTACTCTGACAGATCAATATTATCGTTAATCCACATACGTTCGTCATTGCCACATATATCTTAATAAGTTGTAATAAGCAACTTTTCTTGATAATCCGTAGTGCTCGATATTCATTTTGTCTTTCTAAATATTTTATTAACAAAACACAATAGAAAGTATCGAATGTGTAAAGACATAGTAGATGTCGTGCACCATATACTATCGAAATAAATTGCTTATTACAAACTTACCAAGAGGTAAAAAATCTTAATCTGATTAAATACATGTTGCAATGACGAAAAATGTGCGGATTAATGGTAACATTGATCTGCCAGAGCAACATTGTCTTATAAAAAAAGTAAAAGAAATCTATATATTATACATAAGAATTACTTGTTGACTATTTATTACATTATTATTTTACAATTATTTCTTGAAGATTATTAAAACTAATACACAACATATTCTGCTTTCCTTTTAATCATTGAGATGATGTCTAACAACAGAAAACTATGACTACAACAATTAGTCTTTTGAAAAGATATCTCCGAGAGTTCGTTTTAATCGATAGTATTAAATGATGTGAATATCAACTTAAGTAATTATTCCACTTTGCAAGAGTATTATTTTATATTGATTTTATCGTCGATGCGTTGGAATGAATTAAATATAGAATTCCCTTAAAAAGAATATATTTAAGATGATTCTCTCATAGCTTTCTTTTACAGAAGAAGCATTAATTAGTATAAACTGAAAGGATTCAAGTGCATATAAATTTATATTTGTCATTATCAGTGATTATATGAAATGATATTAAGATATACATAATATAATTGATATATGACAAATTATTCATTTGAAATACATAAATAGAAACAATTTCTCTTTTTCTTTTTAATTCATGACAGCATAGAGTTGACAATCTTAAAAAATAATTTTAGACGTCAATTTCTTATCAATAAATGTACTACCTGTGAAATAATCTCTCTCTTATTCATTAGATCATTCAAAGTTGTATCATAATCGAATTCTACCTTGCAAAACTTCTATACTATATTTTCATATAAGTTAATTAACTTGTTTTTGAAAGTAAAACAATAGAATTAAATCTCAATTAAATGCAAATACTCTATTCTTAATTCATAAAACCAAGTATTACTAACATTCAAGAAAACTTCTGATACATTGATTAATTGTTTTTCATTCGATAGAATATATCAAGTTAAACATTAATATCTTATCAATAAATGTCTGGTGAGACACATGAATTAGATTTTCCCTTTTATTATTATTCAGCTTAGATTTTTTGAAAAGAGTGTTACTCCATAGAACTAATGTTATTATATTGATTCATTTATTTCTTGTTATGTTTATAATAAATATTTTTTTCTAAAAACGAGAGATATATTATCTCTAGTTGAACTTTACATTTTATACTCAGATGATAGAAAATTAATAAGAAGGGTAGGTATGGGATGGAAGTGAGTATTGTCATCATCTCACATTCACACCTTCAAGATATTTTTTTGAATCAGTCTATATGAATATGAAACGTTTGCTCTTTGACAGTTCTACTTTGGACAGTCTGTTTCTTGATATTATTCAGGTTATTCGCTAATATTAATCAATAAAAAATATTTTGTCAGATATATTTCTTGGCGTACGAATAATGTTTTCTTTTGTTTAATTCTATAGCTATACGGCTCTGATGCATGTAAAGTTCTTATCACTTCCTATTCTATCTTTTTTTATTCACTAAATAAATATTCAGTACTTATATTAAATAAAAAGACTAGAGAATAAATGATAAATATTCTAATGAATATAGAATTTTTTCATGACGTAAGATGTTTAGTTCTATAAAACAAATATCTTTTAAAGTTTTGCCAATGTTGTTAGACAAAAATGATAAAGTTCATTGATACAAAAGATATCATGAATTTAAAATCGATATCTATAAATAACTATGTTTGTTGTAGAAAAAAAAAATACACTGGAAATCTGTGTACTATATATTAATCTTTCGATACTTTCTGTCAGTACTTTTATGTGTCCGTGAGTGTACGAGTGCCATATTTAACTTACACTCATATTTAAACATTTTTCTATTTATTCATCAGATGCATGAAAAATAAGATGGTCTATAATCTTTCATGCTGTTCAAGAATTTTTCGAATCTCTGACGACTTTAGTGAAAATTAGTATCATCTTTGTTCTATGTAGCTGGAGAATATATATATTTTGTTTTTGAAAAAACGAATTTTTATATAATTCATATTTCTCTTTGTATAAAGAAAATATTCGATTCTCGAAAGTTAGTTTATAATTTTTCTTTGCTGTTATAATCAAGAATTGTTTATACTACGAAAATGTTCAGTTATATTCTTTGTTGTTGATGAAGGTATTCTTAATGATATTGGAGATAAATTTTTTAACATAAACATTTTTTGTCTTATCTTGAAATTGATATTTAAATAGAGAAAAGTCATATTAATACGACTAACTATAAACACTTTTATTGATACGCTCACTTGAAATGATCGAAAAATAAAAAATCTTCATTGATTCTACAAATGCTCACGTTATTATAGATTCAAACTCATCGTATACATATTTTGTATCTATTCAAGAACGTATTTCGACTATAGACATTAGAACTAAACAAAGAGATTTTTCAGCTCATTTATTTGAAAGATACAATAACAAAATGTTTGCTTCATATTAAAAAATAAAATTAGATATTTATCTTTGTTTGATTTGATTAATTGTTAAAGTTTTAAATTAAATTAATAGGAAAACTATTTTTTGTATTTATCTTGAATAGATGGAAAGATAAAACTAATTTTATTTTCTCTTATTAATCTATAAATAATTTAAATATAATATTCGATCTCACACAATAAAATAGAGATTCAAAAATGGCAAATAATTCATTTTTCTCTCTCATTACAAAGTTACCTTTTTTCGACGTATGTCTTATAATAATAAAAGGTGAGAAAAAGAATAGACGCCACGTTGATATTGTAGAACGACGTTTTTTTCGTTCTCTTTTATTTTTCTTCACAATGAGCTACCAAGTCATGTTTCTACGTGCATAGATTCTGTCGTTACTAAATCGAAGTAATATTTTTGTTTTTCGCATCACTGCACTCATTAATAATATGTATCTTAAATAATGTGCGTAATATTCAGATAAAAAAAAGAAGATTTGTCAACTAAATCGTTTTCGCGTTACTCAGTGAAAAGAAATCTTTAGCTGAAATAAATTAAATATTTTAGAATTAGTAGTTACATTTATTAAGAATAAATATAGATTTTTAAATTATTTATTAGTTAAATTTGTAATAAAGAAATATCTACTTATTTTCAGTGTTAATTCAATCAAATTTCTTTACATATCATCCAAAATGTGGAAAGAACTCAGCATCAATATTAATATACAAAAAATCATATCTAAAAATCACTATGCTATCTTCTCTTTCATAAGATATGCATCTAAACAAATTTGCAGATAAGATTCTTAACTTGCCGATCAGTAAAAATATATGCTTAAAGAAAAAGTGAACGATAATCTCTATTGGAAGAAAAAAAAGTTGAAATAATTTAAAGAGAATACTTATCATTGGTATGAACATTTAACAACTATTGAAAATTTTTATAAAAAGATGAATGGTTGTTGAATTGTTATTAAACTTTAATTTATAATTTTCCTCAGTTTTTCATTTCGGTTATCATCTGTTGTAGTCGTTTTTCAAAAAAAATCGTAGAGAATTGAATTCTTATAGCCACTTTTTATTTACATAATGACATTTGCTGTTAATGAAAACGATTTGGATCATCGTTAAAATCCTAATAAATTGATCCTTGAATTGTCTCAGAGTATTTACGAATAGATGTAATCGAATGATCTGACAATTTACAATAGTACTTGAAATACAGTTGCGTATTATATTCTTTTGATTATAAAAATAATCGTCAACAAAATGACATTTATCTGTTTTACAATTACATTTTTGTGACTTGTTTTCTTTTGCGCATCTGTATCTCATCAAAAGTATGACAAGCAAGAGAAAAATCCATACATAAGACAAAACAATGAAAAATCAAATTCCTTTCATTAGAATGTATGTATTTTTTTTATTTCGAAGAAATTAATCTTGTCATTTTATTCTTTGTCGATATTATAAAGATAATCGTATGCATTATATATGTGCATCAAATTGTCAAATGATTTTAAATCTTATTCGTAGGATTTACATGACTATAATGTTGTTTTGACGTTATTTATTTCGTCGATAAAATATTTCATATATATATTTCAGTCGCACAATGACTCAACATATATAAAAAAAAGGTATCCATTAGATAATAATCTTATTGATCAGTGAGAATAAATACTCAGACGAAAAAGTAAACGATACACATACTGTAATATCAAATAGAGGTAAGTACTATCCTTTTTTTATACTTTTATTTATGTTTAAAACTCAAATACTATTGAGGAAACTAAATATTCCCCAAAGCATTTGAGAGTAATTCACTATTACCATTTGTGAAATATACCTTTCATCTTTATATATCCTCAACTTTTATCTATCTGTTTCCGATTTTCATTTTCTTTTTATTTCAACATTCAAAACCAATATTAATACTTCAAAACACTAATCCAGCATAAAAACAAACACTAATACGACCATGCACTTCTACTAAAACACCAAACCACCCACAAAACCCTTCACAACGCCAACAAAACCCAAACATTAATACCAAAGTGGACAATACTAATAACTTAACAAACACCAACATCTCAAAATGATATACACAACAATGAGCATCATCAATAAAAATAACAAATCATCCAGTGAAAACTACGGCATCCACATCATCACCTATAACAACTCAATCCCATCTAGAATCAACTCACAAACAATCGCCAACAAAAACACCAACAACGAATCCATTTTCTATCAACTCGCGAAAAAATATCATCAACAAAATAAAAACTGATGCCACCAGATATAAATACCCCATTCAACACTATCATCACTGCAACTGTCACTACCACTTAATATCAATACCTGATTCAACGAAATCACCAATGCAAATACTGATGCTACACTGATACGAATACAATGTTGAACACCATCACCAATGCAACCATTAATGCCACCTGATACGAAGATAAAACAGAACACCATCACCAATACGCATATTATTGCCACCTGGTATGAATATCAAATTGAACACCATCACGAGAGCAAATATAATTGTGACCTGCTATGAAAATCAAACTGAACACACTCGCCAATACAAATATTATTTCCTCCACGTATCAATATCAAACTGAACACCATCACCAATGCAAATATTAATGGCATTTGATATGAAGATGCAATTGAACACTATCATCGATGCATATATTAATGCCATCTGGTATGACGATGCAACTGAACGCCATCACCAATGGAAATATTAATGCCATCTGCTATGAAGATGCGATTGAACGCCACCACCGATGCAAATATGAATGCCATCTGATATGAAGATGTAATTGAACACCACCTCTAATACAAATATTAATGGCATTTGGTATGAAGACGCAATTGAACACCATCACCAATGCAAATACTGATGGCACCTTGTATAAATACTACGTTAAAAACCACCACCTATGCAAATCTTAATGCCATCTGGTATGAAGATGCAATTGAACACCATCACCAATGCAAATATTAATGCCATCTGGTATGAAGATGCAATTGAACACCGTCACCAATGCAAGTATTAATGCCACCTTGTATAAATATTACGTTAAATACCACCACCAATGCAAATATTAATGCCATCTGGTATAAATATGTAGTTGAACAACACCACCAATGCAAATATCAATGTCATCTGATATAAACATACAACTGAACACTATTACCAATGCAAATATTATTGCGACCTGGTATGAAGATGCAATTGAACACCATCACCAATGCAAATATTATTG